TGGGGGAGGTAGGGGGTGTTTGGAAGAATGAGGAGGATAATTTCTCTTCATTTTTAGAAGCTCTAAGCTAAGGTTTCATTCTAAAAGCACTTTAGCGTCTGTAGAGTTATTGATGAATCAAAAACTACTAAAACATGGGGATTTCCAAAAATTTACAAGATTAGAAGTTGGATGAAAGAACTTCACTTTACCATAATCTTTTCAAAAAGCCAACATTTCAAGAGGTTATTTTGATGGACTAAAACAGCTTATCATTAGTTGAATGAAAGAGTTTCACTTAACAGATGACATCTGGAAAGAGCAACAAGTTATTCATCCTTAATATCCTATCTGAAACATTTCTTTCCTAATATAGATCATCCATGCAAGAAACAAGCATAAGGTCTTCATTTTGAAGATCTTAATAAATAAACAGAAAAATAAGCTTTCATAAGAGGGTTTACACAATTAAGATCCTGAATTCAAGTCTTGCCATCGGCTATAACCAGAACGCTTAGGCCCCAAAAAGAATCAGGTACAAATTGAAAACCTAAATAAATACAAATGCTAAGGAACCCCAATCCAACTTAGCCTAGACTTCCCATAAACAAGGAAAAACATGGACGAACAACAAATTTGCCAGATAAAATTCCCATTAGTCAGATGTTGAGTTTCTTTCTCAAATGTGTTGATAAATGTATGTTTGAGTCTATCATAACAAAGTTGTCACTGTTAAGATTTTTGGGCACAGATGATTATGCATTTTGATTATTTAGGATGAGCTTCTATAACGACATTTTAATTGAAAGAGAAAATCAGGTACAAGGGTTGATTCACATACAACTGAGGACTTGAAAGAAACTGACCTTGGGAAGTTGAGCTGTAACTTTTGCAATTTATGCTTCACTCCAGGTTCACATAGAAGTATTCTGCATTCACCAAGCTTGCATCTGCCACCAAACAAAATAAATGACATAAGTAGGATAATTAACAAAATGAAAGAGGATTTACAATCACCATTCACTGGCATCCACTTTTATTCATATCAATGATTAAATGTATTTCACGACATTATGAGAGAACACGGAGTGCAAGTTCAGTGAGGTTTGGAGACAGACCCTAGAGTCTAAAGGTTTCAAGTTGAGTAGGACGAAAATAGAATACTTAGAGTGCAAATTCAGTGAGGGACACATGAAATAGAAGTGGACGTGAAGTTTGATACACAAGTCATTCCCAAGAGAGATAGTTTCATGTACCTTGGGTCTGCTTTCCAAGGCAACCGGTAGATTGACGAGGATGTTACACATCGTATTGGAGTGAGGTGGATGAAATGGAGGCTCGTATCTGGTGTTTTGTGTGATAAGAATGTGCCACCAAGACTTAAGGGCAAGTTATACATAGTGGTAGTTAGACCGACTATGTTGTATGGTGCTGAGTGTTGGCCAGTCAAGAAATCACATGTTCAGAAGATGAGAGTAGCAGAAATGAGGATATTGAGATTGATGTGTGGGCATATCTGGAAAAATAAGATTAGGAATGAGGTTATTAGGGGCAAGGTGGGAGTGGCCCCTATGGAAGACAAATTGCAGGAATCGAGGCTGAGATGGTACGGGCACGTGACGAGGAGAGACATCGATGTCCCGGTTAGGAGATGTGAGAGGTTGACCATGACGGGTCTAAGGAAGGGTAGAGGTAGGCCAAAAAAGTATTGGGGAGAGGTGATTAGGCATTGGGGAGAGGTGATTAGGCAGGACATGGCATTGCTTCAGCTTACCGAGGACATGATCCTCGATAGGAAAGTGTGGAGGTCGCGAATTAGATTGAAGTTTGATAGGTAGTCGGGAGTTTCTCATAATCTTACCAGTAGCATTAGTATTATTCTTACAGTTTCGTGTTCCTAGATTTTTGTTATTCCATGTTGTGTCATTCTTATCAGTATTGCTAATAGTATCCTTGTATGTCTTTTGTTAGATCTTTGTTATTACACATAGTGTCTTTGTTTTTTGTCTCTTGTTATTGTTATTATTGGTTACTCCCTGTTTAGCGTTCCTTAAGCCGAGGGTCTATCGGAAACAGCCTCTCTACCTTCACAAGGTAGGGGTAAGGTCTGCGTACACACTACTCTCCCCAGATCCCCACTTATGTGATTACACTGGGTTTTTTGTTGTTGTTATGAGAGAACACGGAACTAATCGTTAATGATGACAGCCAGGGGCCACCAACACGGTAAGGAATGTTTTACTACCAGAATTTGCTAATAAAAGGATCAGGGCTTGCCACTCACGATATAGAGCAATTAAACAAGAAATCTGGAACTTCATTAATGCAAAGTTACAAATTTATAGCTTGAAAATTTCAGGGAACGAAAGAATATTGTAGCTTACCCGACTTTTAAAAGCGTATCCCACCCTGGAAAATTTTCACTATTGCTTGTACAGAGACAGGAAACAGTTATTGCCAACTGCATTGAGAAAACTATGTTAGGGAGCAAACTTAAAAAAGAATCAAGCTACTACAGAAGAGAGATAGGCCAGAAGACTTTAAAATAAGAGCATAAAAACCAAGGTAGAAGAAAGAGTAGAATCAAAGGAGAAAGAATAAATTGGAAAAGAGATCAATTAATCCGATTTATTCACTACAAGAGACACATAATCCATCACTAAATCATAGATGCCAAAAGAGGCGAAACTGCAAAAGACAGAAGACAGGTTACCTACCTTGTCAAAGGTGGTCTCACTCATCCCTGTCTTATGACCCTCATAGACCATAGCTGCCAAGAAGATTTTACTCAGTTTGGAGCAGCTTCTCATCACCTACAGAAAAACAAATAATTAGATATAATGCAAGCACTATGATACAGTGTACAAAAGAAACAAAATCCTTATACCCCCCCCCCCCACACCCACACACACACACACAGCCAGTGAAACATTAGCTAGCACTTAGTCGCTGCATCCTTATGGATCAACTACAGAAGAACAGAGCTAGTCATAACAGGATTGCACTACGAAATTGTTGGAGTTCCCATTTTGTACTAAGAGATGGTCAGCAGAACTCCTTTGGTAAATTTCATTTCAATGCTTACATGCATATAAGGATACTCCCGTTCTTCCCAGAGTAGTCAAAAGCGAAAAGCTCAAAAAAGCACCAAAGTATGTCGGAGCTTTAAGCGCAAATCGCAGTTAAAGCGTGGGGGGTTTCGAAGAAAAGCACCAATGAAGAGAAACAAAAATAGAAATGCAATGCAAGAAAATGCAACTATAAACGCAAAGGATAATTATTTGGACAAAAGAATGAAAAAACTATAATTAAGCTA